CCCCAAAACCCCAAAACCCCAAAACCCCAAAACCCCTTTTGGCAAGCAAAATGTTGGAAGGCTTCTAGGTTTATTAATAATTAGCCAGACTCTTCCACTTTTTGCTTCTTGTTAGAGTTCTCTGCAGAAGTGGGCTCAGAATTGGCAGCTGATATTTCTTGTTCAGGGTCCTGTTTGCTGGCTTCTTCATGAGTTCTCTTTTTACCCTTACCAAAAGATCCCAAATTTACTGGAGTAGCATTCTCTAAAGTTGGCTTTTTAAAAGTGTTAGCCGGCTCTGCTTTTAATTTAGCTTTTTCAAGAATGGGCTTCTCTGTTAATGAGATTTTTCATTCTTCTATCTTGTTGTTAATCTCAAGTGTAAGTCCTTGCAACTCTCTCGCCTTATCAGAATATATCTCTATCTTCTTAAGCTTCTCATTATCTTTTAAGTCCATGATATTAAGCTTAGAACCTTCCTCTGGATTGTGAGTCTTTACATCCTCAATCAAGATTCCTCCCAAAATAGTGGAGGCTTCATAGAAACTATCAAGTGCTGCTTGCTGGCCATCAGGTACAAATTGATATGCGCATCCAATCTTGTATAGAATTCCTGCAATAGTCCTACTTTTTGCTCTATCACAATTATGCTTGATGCAAAGATCGATCAATGAATTGTACAGCCTAATTGCTTCTTTGAGATTCTCCCTTGCTGCTTCTAGGTCTGCCTGCCTTTCTAAAATATCTGCTTTCGTGTTCCAGTTGATTTGCTCAAATTCTTCTGGATTCTCATGCATTGCCTTAGTCTTTTCAAAGATGGCTAAGGCAACCTCAAGGTTTTCCCATGGGGCTCTAAACTCATCGGTATAATCATCTTCGTCATCTTCTTTAGCGTTCGGATCTTTCTTCTCTTCCTCCATATTTTCTTGTCTTGTGGTAGTAATGATCTCTTCTTCCTCCTCCTCTTCAATCTTTGGGTTGTCTTTGCTTTCATTTTTGTCTTCTTTAGCTGGAGCGTTGTTCTCCTCTTTAGCAGCTGGCTCTTCCTTCTTAGTTGGAGCTTCTGGAACAGGCTTCTCTTCTGCAGCTGGCTTGGAGTCCTCCTTCTCTTTTGGAGGGGTTTCTTTAGTTTCGGGTTTGGCTGATTCATCTTTGCTTCCTATCTTTTGTCCTGCCTGTTCGAAAAATTCTTTGACTTTTTCAGTGGCAGTCTTCAGCATGGCTTCAGGAAATTTCTCATTCGGGTTCTTATTTTGATCTTGTGAAATAGCAGTGGCAGTCCCTCCATTACTTAAAGGATCATTAGAGTTCTCAACCTTGCATAGCTGGGCATCTGCAAGAGCATGATAAAATTTACAGCATTCGAAAGAGACTTCTCCACATTGTCTGGTGACGATATCAAGTGCTGTGCCTGCTAAATAAATTGCTTTATCATATTGTGAATTTCCAATCTGGTTTAAAGCTTCATCAGTAAGTGTCGTTGCTTGTGCAATGGCTTCATCCTTCTGCGTGGCTGCATTGGGTTGGTTAGCAGGAGTACTCTCGTTCATTTTCTTTTAGTTTATTAAACTTTAAGAATCTCTATATTTTTAAATTTTGCGGGGTTTTGGGGTTTTGGGGTTTTGGGGTTTTGGGG